GTTAACTAGGCTTCCACTGAAAGTTTGGAACGTACCAAGTCATTATCACGAGATATTTTATTTTAGCGTGACAGAGTTATAGAGAATAGGACAAAGCCTTTTCCGTTATAAGCCTGTGTCATCGTTTTGTAGACCCTTTTTGACTTGAGCACCGCAGTTTGCTTAACTTGTCAGATACACTATGCTAATCTTAAAATGATTGTTCTCTTGAGAGGGATTTTTTCCCTATATTTGATTACCTCAAACTTAGGTCCCATTATCTTGCAAGGACCACACCAATCGGCGAAAAAGTCGATTACCACCAACTTGACTCCGCTGCTTTCGAGAAGCTCATCGAGTTGTTTCTGTATAAAACAAAAACAAAATGATGCTTTTACAGCAAGTTCGGAAGTAAAAAAGAAAAACTCGTCATATGGCATAGACAATATACTAAATAAATCAAAACTTCATGATCTGAAGGAAATGAGCCCAACAGAATAATGCGAATCTTCAAACTCCGTGACATCTTTTAATTTACCTCTGAAATATGTGATAAGTTACGTACAAAAACAAGGTTTTTCTCGCCTTCGGCTGGGACAGGCCGGTCAAAACATTTTACATGCCGCTCTCTGAGCAACAGAAATAGAACCTTGAATAAAAACAGTGGGTAAACACGTGACTGACTAATCTAAGATAACGAAATTTCATTCCAGATGTGTTTATAAAGAACCCTTTAACCCGATTAATTCGTACCCATGCCCCTCAATCGCAAACCACACACTTTATCATTTCGCTTTGGGGAACAGCTGCGCGATTGATATGATGTGGGCGTCGAGAAGTGTACAGTGCGGAAACATTCACTGACCAATCAGTTGGTGATTATGCGCTGAAATCTATTTTCAACAGTTCACAGAATTCAAGGAATATATCTAGGGGCCAACATCCTAGTTCCCTCTTACAATGGTGTAAACCAGAAGTTTTAAATTGTGCGGTTGGACAAGTGGACACGGCTGGTTGAGTTCTTTTGAATCCACTTTGTTCTTGGCTATCAAAAATTTTCAAATTAATAACGTTTCAGTTGTTGAGTCATACTGATTTATCGTAAATGAAAGTTCTAATATTGATTTCAGTGACAGCTCTTAAGTTGCCTCGCGGGCTGTTAATATAAGAAATTTAATTCGTTAAAAGCGAATTTTGCCTTATTTCAATAACAGAGGATCTTGAAGATGACTGTTTTATTTTTTACTGAATAATCAGCTTACGTTAGTAGGTGAACAGATGTACTTCAACAATTAGCATATTAATAAAAGCTTTTGGTCCATACAACTTGAATGACCCAGGGTATTAAAAATGAGTTGTTATTTTAAACACAGTTTCGAAGCGTTTAGAAAAACCGATGGTCAGTTTGTTTGCTTTCTCCGCCCAAACTCACAACTCTAATTATTTACCAAGGCTGTGTTTCTTAGGGTGAAGAACAAATATAACGAGGTTTTATTGTCGTTCTCACCATGTGAATAGTACACTTGATGTGGATTACAGCATCTTTGCTGCATACTGCTAGCTTTCTATCATGAATGAAATGTAACTCGCTCAAGATTAGAAAAACAAAATTATTGAATATTACAATGGAACAGGTCTCCTCAATGATCGAATCAACGTATGTAGATATGACAGAGCTATTCTAGGAATAAATTTACGGCAACTTTAACCGTTGGGTAAAACGACGATTTATTAGTTAATTCATCGTGATACTTACCAAAGTCGTCAACTCTTTCATTTTCCTTTCCTGGATGACCATCAGTTTAGCGGGAGAGTGTCGAATCTTGACGGGAGGTTTTGCGTAGACTGATGTCGCAAAACCGGAATTTTTCAAACTAATATATTCGGAACATGATCTCCCAGACGATTTATTTAATTATGACGTTTCTTTTCAGTATCCTGGTTCCGCTTAGTTTCCCATTAGTAACAAGGTCGTCGAACAAAAGAAACAAAGGCATGAATAAACTAAAACCATTACTGATCTCATTTCGACCTCAATTTTCATTGGTTTTGACACTAAAGTGAAATAATGGTAATAAGAATGACACTTGAACACAAACTATATACGATCAAGAAAATTTACATACATTTCAGTCACAATTTCAGTAGTTTCACTATGGAGATATTAAGATAAGCCAAACATCCCTAACTATTGGAGCGCGGCAAAAAGAAAAAACATCACGTTCTGTCCTTCTCTCATGTAAAGAGCATTCACGTTTCTCGTGATTTCTTTCTCACGAGCTTGGGAGAGAGAGAGAAAGAGAGAGGGAGAGAGGAGGAGGGGCATGGGGGAGAGAAGGAAACAGAGAAACAAAGTAGTAATGCTGCAATGCTCGTCCATGCCCCTGTCAGTCCCCCCTGGGCTCCCCTGATCATATTGGTGAAACTGCTGCATTCACTCGATTTTAAACTCGCCTAAATAAGACTTAGTTCTTCATAACCGAGTGGGAGGTTTGTATGGGAGAATCTTGACCGAGGTCGCCAGTACAGATCGAACGCAGTGAGGTCTGTACCAGCGACCGAGGTCAAGATTCTCCCATACAGACTAACCTAGCTCGGTTAATATGATGTTTATTATATGGCTGAGTCTTATATGCCAATTTTCTTTATTCTTTGTACCTTTTTTTCTAGACCGGTCTA